TTTCCTCACCAACGGGCTTGACACTCAGCACATCGTTGAATGGGTCGAGCTGCAGGACAGCATCTCTAGCACGGTTGAGGGGATCCCTAGACTTGAATCTCCACATTTCACGACATACACCAATGGACCGTGTGACCTCAGGCGTAGAGTGTAACATGGAGACCGCCGTGCCAGAGAGACAAGCATCTGAAGCGGTAGCTGTACCACTCCAAGGCTGTCTAAGGTCGCTAGAGCAAACCAACAACATAGCTGCTGCCCATCTAAACTCATCGGCTGCAGACTTCCACAATCTTGCTGGATGTTTGTAATGCGCCAACTTGAAATCATACACTGCACGGAATATCGCTAACAGCTCCCGTCGTAGCATGAAAAGGTGAACACAATGACCGATCACGCGCTCAACAGCTTTACCAGATACCTTGGGACGAGTAGCCAGCCAAAGAAGCACCAATCTAAGCTTATCACGTTTGAGCGGGATCGGCCTTACCTCCCCACGCTCACCGTCGAGGATGAAGCCAAGGGCCTGCGCAACAGGGGCGGCATCCTCCTCTTCGTGTACCCGGAATCCCACTGAGCGCAATTGCTGGACCACTTTATCTTTTGTATCCTGCACTACCTCCTTGTCGATGCCACATACGTTCAGCGTAAGGAATGATCACAGCTTCGCCTGAGGTCAGCTTTGGCGCAGGCCGTCCATCCGCCAACACCTGGGAAGGAGAAATAGACAGTGCAATACAAGCTTGGTGTTGATGTATTCTTTGTGCCACCCACATAGCCCACGACCAACCCATCGGGACCACCTTCATGCATGGGAAGATTTCATCGGAGGAGCACTGTAAACACGATGAGGGCAACCCCAATGACTTCACGTTCACTGCAGGCATGCAAAAGAAGCCACGAAGCGCAGATGGCAGCCTTATCGAATAGAAATAGTCTTTCACATCACTCTGGGCGGTGTACATGATCTGATTGTCCCCCACCTCCAGCTGCCCAAAGGAGTAGCCGGCCGCCAGTGCGATATCTGGCGGAGGGGCGAATAATTGATTCGTGGCACGGCAGTCAAGCACCAATCGCAGCTTCCCATTTTTCTTGGATAATGGACTTCGCGGAATCCCGGAATTCTAGCATACCACGGTCATACAAATCACGAACAAACTGCACGTACTGATCAGGATCCCGTCGGAAAACCTCATCTAAGTATGGCTTGACGTGGTTCCCCTTCTCGTAAAGCATCCCCAGCGCCTCATCGGACGCGAACATGGTACTCTTGAACTGCTCCAGAACCTCGCGGCCCTGTGGATCAATCAGAGTGGCGGCATCGAAAGGCTCTGCTCCACACTCTGGTAAGGACACAAGGCTCGCTGTGTAAGGGTGTACCGTACTTCTTGTCCCCTCCTCTGGCATGTATTCTGAAGAGGGACAAAGGTGCAGAAGCTCATGAGTAGCTTCACGCATAACAGGTCGTACGGATGATCTGGGAAGGCTTGCCATGGACCTCATCAAAACTGTCCGTGCATCCCTCTGCGCCTTGAGCGCAGGACGAGTGGAAGGGGAAGCAAAACCTGCCATTTCATTCACAGCAGTAATCACTTCGTTCGCCTTTGAAAGGTTGTCCTCCCGACGGATGCGGTTCCTCTTAGAACTCACAGACTCAAAACTGGACCCCACATGTTTTTTACACGAAGGAAAACTGTTCGGCCTCAGCATGGGGAGAGGCAACAGATCTCGCCAACGCTCTCCCGAAGCCATGCCGAACGGAAAGTCAAAAATCGCACCCTCCGACGCGAAGAGTACTGCCACGAAGGAAAAAGTTGCAGGACACAAAGCCGTGGCCGCTGAATGCCCTGTTGAGCTCGATCACGCGGAGCCACCTCCGGCCCCTCCCCCTTTGGGTCCCGGCCGGTTCTTGGATCGAGCTGCAAGCTCCTCTTTTGCCTTTCTGGATTCCTTTGCAATCGCCGCTTGGTCCTTGAGCTCCTTTGCAACATACTTGGCAAGTGGCTGATGCATGCCATCTCCTCGCCTGTACGTCCACCCCATCACGATGTCCGCTGAGGTGTAGTCTGGGGCACCAGGGCTGATGCGATGCGCCTCCCTGATAACCTGCCATCTCCGCATGAGGAGCTCGGCACCGACCAAATTGGGCACATTCACCTGGTCGATCATCACTAGGGCCTCCACGACCCTCGTGATCAACTCCATCTCGTAAACTGAACGATCTCCGCGAGGCAACTCGTTGCTACGAACCCAGCGCTCATGATCATTCACTGGAGTGAGGCCCCGAGAAACCATGCCCTTGAGAACCCCCAGACATGAAGGAGGCCCATCCAATTGCAGTCCTCCTCCGGGCATTGGATCCTGAGACATACGGGAAACCGCCTCGGCAAACTCAATTCGCCGAGAGGCCTGAGGATCAAAGACTGGATCGAGCACACGAAGATCGATGTTGTCCATGGTGGCAACCTGAGCTCTGGGGATCCTTTTGAGGCAGAGCACCGCGCCATTGGCACCCGTGATGATGGCCCGGTCGTCTTGACGCACAGCTCCTGCCGGAAGGGGCTGCCCCTCATCAACCACTACGGTACCACGCTGAATCACCCCACGACTCTCCAAAGCAACCCAAACGTCGGTGTTGTCTGCAGCAGGTGCCGGAGGCGGAGCACCAGCCGCGGCTGGCGCAGCCCCAATGGGAGGCAGCCCTGAAGTAGCCCTCAAGCCGTTTGCATATTGGCGCCCTGCTGTCATCAGCCGTTGGTACTCAATGGCCGACAATGCCCGGAAGCCATAGACCCTGGCAGGATTGACTCCAATTGGCGGGACCGCCACCAACCCCGGACCCCCGTAATGAAAGGCAACGATGTCTGGATTCAAATTGGACAGCTGCTCTTCGTACACGTCGTGATCCGGTGTGACTATGACGAATACATCGTGTTGCACGTGAGCAGCCACCAGTCGCGTATGAACAACTTGTGGAACTTCTCCGTAATCTAGGAAGCAAACATCTCCTTCCGCAATCATCTGATGGTAAGCGCTGCTGGCCCACCCAAGACTCCTTTCTTGCCTTTTCCTTTACTCTCCTCACGTGGGAGGCTGGTAAGAAGCCACCAGACAAAGAGACTAAGCCCAGCAAGAAGAACGCAAAGGAATAGGATAATGAAGCTTTGAAAGCCCCAAGCAAAAGATCTGGCTTGCTCACTCTTGCACTCGCACTGACACAGGCAAGGGGGGCTGACAGGCTTCTCACTGCTCGCACTCAACCACGAGCCTCCCAGAGATGCACCTAGTAGCACCAGAGATGCAGTAAAAGGAAGATCCATGAACCGCTGCCTGGACTAGAGCCCAAATTTCCCGAAATCAAGAGACGTCTGCTTTGCAAGCCTTTCAACACAAGCTCCACTTCGCAGGCTCCGTAACTTCATAAAACGAAATGTCGGTGGCAAAGCCTGAACCCAAAACGGTAATGTCCGTAAGCAAACCCTATTGTCGGTAAGCAAACCCTAAACCATAAAAGGAGATGTTGGTAAGCAAGCCTTGAACCCTAAAAAGGGATGTCGATAGCCAAACCCTTAACCCCCAAAGGAACTCTTGGTAGCTAAACCCTAAACCCGAAAATTAGATGTTGGTAACCAAACCCCAAAACGAGATGTTGGTAAGTAAACCCAAAACCCTAAACGAGATGTCGGTAGCCAACCCTAAAAGGTTCTAAAGGTTGGTAGCCAAGCCCTTACTAAACCCTAGCAGGAGATGTTGGTAGCGAAACATTAAAACCCCAAAAGCAAATGTTGCTAAGGCAACCTAATGGAGATGTTGGTGCCCACACCCTAAACCAGTGTGGACAAGCGTGGGGCGCAAACCCCGCAATATGCGCGTACTACTACTCCTACAACAACAACTAGTACTACTGCTACTCCTGCTACTGCTACTGCTACTGCTACTACTGCTACTGCTACTGCTACTGCTACTGCTACTGCTACTGCTACTGCTACTCCTACTGCTACTACTACTACTACTACTACTACTACTACTACTACTGCTACACTACTACTACTACTACTACTACTACTACTACTACTACGACTACTACTACTACTACTACTACTACTACTACTACTACTACTACTACTACTACTACTACTACTACTACTGCTCCGCGCACAGTGCGGGGTTTGCCCCCCCACACTTGTCCACACTGGTCTAGGGTTTGGGTACCAACATCTCCAGTTTGGTTTTTGGGTTGCCTTACCAACATCTCCTTTTAGGGTTTAGGGTTTGGGTACCAACACCTCCTTTGGGGGTTTAGGGTTTGGCTGCAGTAGTAGTAGTAGTAGTAGCAGCAGTAGTAGTAGTAGTAGTAGCAGTAGTAGTAGTAGTAGCAGTAGTAGCAGTAGTAGTAGTAGTAGTAGTAGTAGTAGTAGTAGTAGTAGTAGTAGTAGTAGTAGTAGTAGTAGAGTAGTAGTAGTAGTAGTAGTAGTAGTGGTAGGAGTAGGAGTAGCAGTAGCAGTAGCAGTAGTCGTGGTGGTGGTGGTAGTAGCAGTAGCAGTAGCAGTAGCAGTAGCAGTAGCAGTAGCAGCAGCAGCAGCAGCAGCAGCAGCAGTAGTAGTAGTGGTGCTGCGCGGGCCATGGGCTTGTATTTCCGACTCCGCCAATGCTTTGGATCTCGCTTTGATCTCGGATCCGACTACATCGTACATCGTGCCGTGGGAAAGACTTGCCCATGACTAACTCCCTCCCAATGAAGCCTCTGTGACAGAACAGACGCAAGATGTGTCCAAGACAGAATACCTAACCGAAGCCGCTCCAAAAGTCTATGTCCAAAGTCAACAGCACCAGTACTACACCATAGCGAGTTCCGACAAATAAATTACGACAAAGGGTCTCGTTTTGGACAGCATTAGTATAACACAAATGATAACAGATAATAGCCGTCGCTCGTATGTCGTTTGACGTCCTGGGTCCCAGTCAGAGGAATTCGAAGTGTCCCAATCACGTCCAGGCCGGGCCTGGCGCCCTTCCTCAGATGCGGTGTCCTCGCATACGCCAAGCACCCAGGTCCCAACAGTGCCTAGAGTGACTGTGTGACTTAGTGAAGATTAGTGAAGCGTAGTGCTTTTGCGGCACAGCTCACTCCGGCCGCCGGCCTCGTGAGATGCAGCCAAGGTTTCAAGCTCGGCGAGCTCAGCGTCAAGCTCAGGCCAGGCACCCGACAGCACAGCCTGAATCCAAACGCCGCTGGATGAGACCAGCATGCCATTATGTCAATGTGAGTTTCAGTGATAACGCCGACCCTGTCAGATGGAAGGTTCGGTTTCTGACCTCCCAACACTAGACACGTTTCCGGCACCTTCTCCACACGCAGCTCACAGAGCAGGGCTGCAGCCCAGCCAAACAAACAAGGTGGAGCTTCTCCATGGGGGGTCGAAATCATCCGACGTACCTGCGCGATCCGGCTGCATGGCCTTGCGCCGCTTTGCGCTTTCGGTCTATGTGTGGGCACGTCATGCTCGAAATGTGGAATTGGCACCAGCGTCCTTGGCAGATTGCTGGCAGGAACTTGCAGCAAAGGCCGTGACATCAAGGCCTGAGCCGGGGGCGCCCAGTCAGTCGTGTGAGCTAGAACATCCTCGAAGCGCTCGCAGAGTACCTCGAGCAGCGCGTGCTATGCCATTGAGCATAGCCCTGCTGTGCTGAGGCTTCCGCGAAGAAAGCAGCCTGTGTCGATGCGGCGCATGAAAGTCCCTTGCTTCGCGCAACTTCGCCTGCTGCCTGCCTGCTGCTGGAAGAGCAGCGTTACTTGAGGAAGGAAGGCCCTCGCAACAAAGAGGGCTTTCCCAAAGGCCCTGGCCTGGGCAGCGAAGAGAGGAGTCGACTTCCCGCCGTGTTGGCGGCTCGACTTCTTCACAAAAAGCCTGTAGGCGGCAGGCTGCAGCACCTGCAAGGAGCGCTTTGCCTGCCGAGATTGAGCAAGGAGTTCGTGCATCTCTTACGTGTGCGTAGCACGCACTATTGCCATGGGCTGACATGTTCATTCGGGTCCACACGAAGGAAAGGCGCAGATCCATCTGAAAGACACCAGAGACATGTGCAGAAAATTACATGATGTCGGAAGGAAGACGTGAAGGTACTCGGATGCCAGTGTACCAGTGACAAAGCCACGACCGATGTGTGCAATTGCACTGATCCGGTGTTGGGGGCTGACGACAAGAAAAAAAGAAGGTCAGTGGACCACTGCTGTTGCAGTGTGCCGGGAAACGAGGGCCGATATTTGACCAAGTTTCTCACAAACAGCGGCCCATAATTCCCGACCCGGCACAATGTGCAGTTGCTTCTGTTGCTTCTGTGGTTGCTGGCCTAAGAGACCACAACATACCGCAACGACAAGCGGACATCCGAGGTCGGAGGTTTCGGCCCTGTTAAGGCTGACCAATGGCAGTGTGGCAGAATGTAACCCCATCCCATCATCCTGTGCCTTTGGGTCCTGGGATTGCGCACGCTGTCAGTTCGGCACGCAGCCGATTCCAGAGCGGAGTCCTGAAAGTCAAGGGGCTTGGCTTGGCTTGGATCTTACGACAAGCTGGCTTTCGTACTGGAATCGTGAACTAATTTCTTGACGAACCCTGCTTTCGTTGTTCCCCTGGAGACTGCAAAGCTCGGCCTGCAAATGACCGCAATCACGACGTGCATAATCGAGATGCCCCGAAGCCCCAAACTCCAACCCATTGCTTTTTCGCTCGGTGAAGCCAGACGCCCAAGCAGCGTTTCGGAATCCTCCGATCATCCCAACCAAGCCTACACTGTGTAACCCTAAGACCATCCTGGAGCATGAGAGAAGCGGATGCGGGATGTACCCATGGTTTGCAACCTGCAAACTAGGGCATGGCTGGGGCCTCTATCCTATACGGGTACTGGGCCTTCAACTTCGGAGAAATGCCCGTGTTAGACATTCGGTTGGGGAAGTTCACGCAATCTCACAAAGGAGCGTTAGTCAGTCTGACAGCTTACCTTGCATGGCATACACACAACTGAAGCGACCCGTTTAGAGCAGGAGAAAGCCACGTTTAAGGACAAGGTCTCCTGCAGGGTCGTTTGAGAGATGCTTGGTAACCACGCCGGTTCCAAAAAAGCAACAGAACAGAACTGGCACGAGGACGTTCTTTGTAAGCCTGAAAGAAGAAGAAAAACACCTCGCACACTTTAGGAGCACATCGTACGGAAAACGTGGGTGCACCATGGGGTGGAGTCGACAATCGGCCAAGGAAACTACATCACGAAGCCCAACAAGCCCAACGACGGCTAGAATGCCCAACGTTTCTCGTGTTGAAAATGTCAGAGGCAATACGTGCCTTCATTTGACCATAACCTCGCGTTCCCAAGTACACCTTGGTGGTGTGTCTCAGTGCTTTCACAAGCGGCCAGCGACATTCAGTGAGCCCATGGCACAGCAGCAGAAGTACTCCCCATCTCATGGGCGCCAAAACACCCAAAAACGTAGGCAAGGCGGCCCATGCCCTTAAGAATTCCAAAGCTGAAACTGAAAACTGTGCATTGCGCGTTCATCATCTTATGGTCGACTTGCACTCCGTCACAGCCCATTCTCGTTTTTGCACCTCTACGGTGCCTCTTGCTTGATGAGATTCCCCATGTGCTGACTCCAAATCCTTCTTTCAGGTAGAGGGTCGATGTCGGAGTAGACCAAGCGCCGGCCCCCAAGCACATGACATGAACTTCATCAGAAACTCTGCATTCCAACCACGGGAGCGCTTTGTCCGCTCGCGCATGTCTTCAGGAAGCTATGTCCGATGCGCTCTGCTTACATGCCACTTTTTGGCGATACCGGCACCGACTGCCTGTTCAGAATCTAGTCTAGTGGTGAAGCTACAGCTACACCTTCTCGTAGTCGAGCTTGCCTTCGAGCTTCTTGTTGTCTGCCTCATGCGGGCGACACGTTGGCCTGCGCAGAGCTCCCTTCAGCTTCGCCCCCTGGGGGCCGGTCAATTTTTCTTGCGGCCTGGCCCGAAGCTGCCGAGGGCTCCAAACTTCTCCAAGCGACTCCAACCGAGTGCTCGTGCTCGCGCGCCTTCATGAAATCTTCCTCAACGACGTAGTCCCGCTCGGCGCGGATCGCAAACATTCCGGCCTGATCAGTGTGCTCGCATAACACAAAGCCTTCCCTGCTAATGCATGCAAAGGCTGGCGGCCTCGGTGCAAATGTTGCGCATGTCCGCGTTGTTGAAGTTGTCTGTGAGTTTGCAGATGGCTTCGTAGTCGATATCCCCGTGCTTTGTGATGGGGTTGGCATGGATCTTGAGCACCTGGCGATGTAACCCGAGGCGACCCGAGAGACCCAAATGACTCCTGGACCTCGCGCCTCGATCCTGGCTTGCTCGTTCGGCAGCGGAATCTCGATCTGGCACAAGCGGAAACCACTAAAACCGCAGCAGCCGTAGCAGTTGCTGCTGCGAGACTTAGGCAGCTGGTGAAAAAGCACTGGACCCTTGCTGTCGGCCAGTTGCACCTTCCGGTCCAAGCGCCCCGGCCGAAGCAGCGCAGGGTCCAGGGTATCGGGCCGATTTGTGGCCTCGGGCAACTTCGGGCATGACTTCACAGCCGAGTGCCGCACAGCTTAAAAAGGGATTCTATTTCGGATCTTCTTCCGCATCGGAAGATCCTTCAAAGGCTGAGGCCATGATGATCTTCACGCGGCCCAAATCGTCGAAGCCGTCCAACTGATTCAACAGTTCCTGAGCACGAAACCCAAGAAGCCCTTACAGCAGGCTGAAAACACAGGGCAGCGAACCTTGTCATCCAGCTGGGGTCGGCACCATCAAAGTCCTCTGGATCTCTCGGTCAGCCGACGTGCCTTGAGAGAACCGCTTCCCGCCGATGGCATCAATCCTCAAGAGGACGGGGTGTAAAGATTCGAAAAGGCAGCCTTCACTGCGTAGTTCTTCATGCTGCGCGGTGGCTCATCCATGAAAATGATACATGGCTGATGCTCTTTCGCATAGCCAAACATCTCGCGGATGATTCGGGCAGACTCTCCGATGTACTTGTCAACGATGGCAGATGCTACAACCTGATGCAGAGTTTCAAGCCCCTACTTTCGAGCTGCTTGCATTGGATGGGAACCACTGACAACTGCTGGCCTTGATGAAACTGGCCGTCATGTTGTGTGCCATGGCCCGTGCCAGAAGCGTCTTTCCGGTTCCCGGCGGGCCATAGAGCAGCACGCCTTTCGGAGACTTGATGCCCACCTCAGACATGCAACGTTCCTTGCCCGAGGCTTTGAGGCCAAGGCCAAGCGCAGGCTGAACACACGCTTGAAGAGCTCCGGGTTTGTCAATGGCAGCTCGATGACCTGGGCTCCGCATGTCACTCCGCCCTCAGCAATCGTTCGCAATATGCTGTCAAAGTATAGAAGATGCATGCACGTGTATGTCTGTTAAAAAGTACGCCCGCGTGAATGCCTGGATGGATGGATGGATGGATGGATGGATGGTGTGAAAATAACACGTCCCCACTATCTCCCAGACCTACGACTTTGCCAACCTTCGTTGGCTCAAGACCACTTTGCCCTATCGGAAAAGGCGCTGCTGAACTTCAGGGCTACTTTGGTCTCAGTCGTGTGAGCTTGTGCACGGAATTACTTTAGGGTAGTTTGGAGCGCATTCTGGACTAGTGTACTTTCGCATGGTAGCGGAGCTGAAGCTCCACGGAACTTTGGTAGAACAACTTGGCGTCAGAACGAGGACAGCAACGGCTTTGAGACATGGAGAAGACTTTACAAGAAGTTCTCGCTGCCAGGAGCCACGCGAAGCACGTCACTTTTGACGCAGCTGTTGGACTTTAAGTTCAACCCAGCCACCTTTGAACAGGACTTTAATGTTTGGGAAACAATCAAGAGTAGGTACGAACGACAAGCAGGACAACCTTTGCCTGATGGTGTTCTTGTTGCAACTTTGCTGAACAAGGCTTCTGGAGCTTTACAACAACACCTTAGGTTGAATGCCCAAACTTTGGCTACCTATGCTCAGGTTCGAGAAGTTATCCTTGAGTACCATAGATCACGACTTTTGATGAACCCAGTTGCACAAACTTCGGCGAATGCAACTTTTGCTGGTGGAGCTTCGGCTCCCATGGACATTGGTGCCTTAGCGGCAGCTTTGTGGAAAGGAAAAGGAAAGAAAGGAAAAGGAAAGAAAGGAAAAGGAAAAGGGAAAGGAAAAGGAAAAGGAAAGGACTTTTCGAAGTCGTTTGGAAAAGGAGGACAACATTGGAACTTTATGATGAAAGGAAAAGGAAGAGGAAAAGGAAAAGGAAAGGCCACTTCTAGCTCTACTTCGGTTTGCTGGACGTGTGGTAAAACGGGTCACCTTTCGAGCAACTGTCCTAACTACCGTGTTTCAGCTGTTGAAGGTGAAGAACTTTACCCGTCGGAAGATACAGGAGATTGGTCTCACTTTGGTGAGGACGATTGGTCTGATTGGACCGATTGGGCGATCAACGCGGTGACGGAACTTTACAACGACCCTAGCAGTTGGGATCAGACTTGGGATGATCAACTTTGGTCTTGGGATGCTTGGTCCTGGGATGTTGACCCTTGGGGTTGGTCTTCGGACTTTACTTCAGAAGTTTGGCCTTCAGAGGCTGCTCCTTCGGCGAAGGCCGAAACTTTGGCGAAGCCCAAGGAAGAGGCTTCCTCGTCAAGCGGCGCGGCAACTTTGCCCGTGTCGGCTGTGACTTTGCAAGGACCACCTGGACTTTCAACCCCCAAAGCCAAGCCTAAGGCTAAAGCAAGCATCAGCCCGAGCACTTTGCTCATGTCGGCTGTTGTTCTCGGCAACTTTGGTTTGGGGAACACTTTCAGAGTTGATGGGATGACGAACGGAGTTGTAGACTTCAGCTTTGGTGGTTTCGGAGAGTGTGAGAACTTTGAGCCTACGGCCTTTATGGCACCGCTTGAGACTTTCTCCTTGAATGGTCGCACGGATGAGAACCAACGACTTTTCAGTGTTGGGGATCTTGGTCTTCAGAATTTGAATACGACTTTCAAGGATGTTGCTTTGGAGGAGCATTTGATTGCTTCGACTTTGGAGGACACTGAGCCGTGGATCCTCTTTGATTCAGGTGCTGCAACTCACTGTTGCCCGAAGGACTTTGCTTCAGAGTGGCCACTTCTGCCACTTACAGGTAAGGCTCCACCTTTGAGGAGCATTTCAGGTCAGCCTTTGACGGTCTTTGGAAGGAGACTTGTGAAGGTTGACTTTGAGGGCCAGCCCTGTTTCTTACACTTCTACGTTTGCGACGTTCCCTACTGTGTGGTGTCCGTTGGCAGACTTTTGAGGTCAGGCTTTGACGTGAACCTTTCTTCTAAGAAGGCGAACACTTTGGAAACACCGGATGGACACAAGGTGCCCATCACTAGGCATGGTTCACTTCTTTTCTTGAGGCCCACTTTGGCACCTTTCAACCGGGAAGAGTTTGAGGTTGCGTGTAACACTTTTCACACACAGAGCGCCCAAGGTACCATAGTGGCCCCAGTTTTTAAGCCTGTCGTCCAGTATCACATTGATAAATGGGAGCTCTCGGGTAATACTTTGACCCGCATACACAAAAAGCGAGAGCTACTTTCTTTTCTCCCGAAGGGACGAAAGATCGCCCTGTAGAACTGAAGGACCTTTCAGACGAACGCGTAACCTACTTTGAGTACGCAGATGGCAGAAAAGAGACTTTCACCGACAACTGGCGTAAGGTAGCTAACCCAAAGGGCCCAGCTTCTGAACGTTTTGTTGGCAAGACTGTTTTTAAACTTTCCTCCAAGCCCACTGGCCGCAAGCTGGTTGGAAAACAGACAACTTTACCTGAACCCACACCTGCACGCAAACCACAACCACTTGAACAGCAGCAGGAACCTTTAGCAGAGGCCCCACAACCACGTTTCAAGCAACCCACTAAAGGCCTCAAGGAGCAAAGCACCGAGGACACTTTCCGTCTGCGCCTTGAGCAGACCTCTTCAGGAACGTTGGAAGACTTTCGGAAGGCTTTGCTTGAGCAGCTTTTAGAGAAGGACCCGGCAACCGGCCAGCCGTACACGCACGACTTGTGGCTTGACTTTCCGTCTTGCTGGGTGCGTGTCCACTACGAACAGCGGACCACACTTTTTGTGCCTGAGGATCCGCACTTTGAAGAGCAGCTTGGCGACGGTCGCATGACTTTGGTTGTGAGGCCAGACACGGAGGCAGTGCCCTTTTGGCACGCTGACCATTGGCGCAAGCGCGGCGCCACTTTGATCAGCTCTCCTTTTGTCGGAGCCACTTGCTTTGAGAAGGCAGACTTGCAGCTTGTTGAGTGCGAGCCGGAAGCTCCGGACTACGTTGCGCATCGCCCTCGCGGGCTCAAGCAGCCAGGCGAACCAACTTTGACGGAGCGGCTTGAACACGAGTTGACACACTTGCCCTTTAAGCCTTGGTGTGAAGTTTGCGTGCGTGCCAAGAGAAAGCAGGCAAAGAGTCGCAGACTTTCCCTGAAGCAGCCTGTGCTGCAGATGGACTTTAGTTTTCTTGGCGACAAGCCTGGTGAGGAACAGATCACGATTTTGAACGTTGTCGATGTTCTTTCGGGCATGGCACTTTCTGTTGTGATTCCCACCAAGGCCCGCACACCTTACTCGCAGGCTGAACTTCGTCGCTTTGTGCTTGAAACGGGCAGAACTTTCGGTGTGTTGCAAGCGGACCCCGAACCCGCCCTCCTCGCTATTGCAACTTCTGTCACTGGTGAGGTTGGTGGACTTTCCTTTCGGAAGACGCCCGTCGGTTGGAAACAAGCGCAAGGCAGCGTCGGTAACATGCAGGCCACTTTGTACGGCCAGATCAAAGCTTTGCGCCTTGACATACTTGAGCGCTTTGACGTGGACCTTTCGGTGCACTCGGCTTTGTTTACTTGGCTTGTGCGTCACGCGCAGTGGCTTGTGAACCGTTACCTTTGCAACGCGGAAGGAACGACGGCTTTTGAGCGGCGCTGGCGTAAGAAGTATGCCGGCTTTATCTGTCGCTTTGGAGAGACAGTACTTTTCCGCAAGCCGCATCCGCAGAAGGGTCGTGCAGCTTTTGTGCCTGGTGTTTGGCTTGGCAAGGACACTGAGTCTGATCAGCACTTTGTTGCTGACGCCACTGGAGTCTTCAAGACCCGCAGTGTCAAACGCCACCCGCCCTCCCGGCAAGCCGACCTTGCACTTTTGCAGTCGATCTCTGCGCGCCCTTGGGACCCCACCGGTTCGAAGGCTGAGACGGACACTTTTGTCTTTCCTCAAGCCAAGCGGTCCGAGGAGGCGACAGCAGCAGACCTTTCGAACTTTGAGCAGCACGAGTCGACTGAGCCACTTGCACCAGAAGCTTTGCAAGAAGTTGAAGACTTGCTTGGTGACGACTTTAGCGGTGTTGAGCCAGAGGCGGTGCCGCCAAGAGAAGACTTGTCGGACTTGGAGTCTTTGGCTACGCCTCCTGACCTTGACACTTTTGAGCCGCCACACGTCACTTTGGACCAGCAGACACAGGGCCAACCACGGTCCGCAACAGAAGCAGCTTTACCGCAACCTGCGGCTACGAGGCCTCGACTTGAGGAGGCGTCTGCTTCTTCTCCGACAAAGCGTACGTCGGAGACTTTGCCTGTTGGGACAAGCAAGGTGCAGAGAATGGCCAGCGTAACTTTTGCAAAGACCAAGAAGCGCTTTCGCCTGTGTGACTTTCGTGTCTCTGCTGTGACAACGAAGCAGGACCTTGAAGTACCGGTGTCGGTGAATCAAGATGAGAAAGAACTTTTGTTGATGAAGACACTTGAGAATCCGCACATTTGGTACCAGACGGAGTTCACACGTGAAGAGGAAGCTGCAGGCATGACAAGGGAGATGAAGTCGATGCGTGACTTTGACGTGTTTGACGAAGTCTCTGTTGAGTCGGTCTCTGAGGAGACTTTGCGGTCTGCAATTTCCACGAAGTGGGTTAAAGTGCGCAAGCCTGACGGGACTGTGCGCTGCAGGATTGTGGGGAGAGGTTACACTCAACTTGTGGAAGACAAGGATGAGACTTTCGCCTCAACCCCGTCCTTAACCACACTTCGGCTGTTGTTGACTTTGGCTGTTGCGAAGGGATGGCACATCTCGATCGGAGACATTTCGACGGCATTTCTTCATGCCCTGGTCGACGGTGACTTTTATGTCATTCCTCCTCTGGAATTCTATCCAGAGGGCCGCACTTTGTGGAAGCTTAAGAAAGCCCTTTACGGACTTAAGCACAGCCCTAAGCTTTGGCAGCAGCACTTTGCATCTGTCATGGAGAAGAACGGCTTTCGACGCATGAAGTAGGACCCGAACCTTTATGTACATGACAGCAAGCAACTTTACGTTCTGGCGTATGTGGATGACTTGATGTTTTTCGGTTCGCGGGCTGATGTTTCGACTTTGATCCGGGATCTTCAGAAGGACTTGTTGCTTAAGCGCACCTCCACTTTCATCTCTGTAGGAATGAGCCCATCCTACATTGATACGATGCTAGAGCTTTACGGTTTGAAACAGTGCCGACAGGCACCTGCGCCAGGAACGGATGCTTTGAGGAAGCAGCTCGACTGTGGACCTTTGGACCCTGAGGATCACAAGCGCTACCGGCGCGCTGTGGGCCAACTTTTGTGGCTTTCCAGCGTGCGCCCTGACATAATGTATGCTGTCAAGGAGTTGAGCCGAGGACTTTCTGCACCAACCACAGAGCATGAAGCAAAGGTGAAGCATCTTTTGAAGTACGCAGGGACAAAGCACTTTGAGCAGAAACTGCAACCAACCCTCTCACTTTCACCGCAGCACAAAGCAATAGACATCAACATTTTTGTTGACAGCGATTGGGCAGGATGCCATGACACCCGACGCTCCACTTCAGGAGTTTCCCTCTTTGTGCTCGGGGCGAATATACTTTCGCACAGCAGGACCCAGGCCACCGCAGAACTTTACGCTATAGGCTCTCAGATGCTCTTTTCGTGAGGTCTTTGGTGGAAGAGAGCAAGATCTTTCAGAAGGCTAACCTTTGTGTTTTCACAGACAGTAACGTTGGCAAAAGCATTGCCTCACGTTTCGGCGCAAGCCGTAAAACGAAGCATGTAGAGTTACGATATCTTTACGTGCAAGAGCTCGTTACTTCTGGTATGGTTAGGATCAAGAAAGTTCTTGGGACTTTGAACCCAGCAGATATCCTTACGAAGTACATCGCGAAGGATACTTTGCACCGCCATCTTCCTACTTTCGGGTTTGAGGTTTAGCCACCCCGTCTCGGGTCGGACTTTGCCACTCATCATCTTTCCCAGAAGAACCCAGATGAGAGAGAAGAAGACTTTGAGAGCTGAGAGAATCACGTTCTTGCGGACATGTACTTTTCATGCTTGTGCGGACATGTACTTTTGCTTGCTTGTGCAGTCTCGACATGTCTTCGACTTTCGCTCGTCGCTGGAATTTTTCATTTTCTGGAACCAACTTTGAAGATGTTCTTTCTGTTTTCCGTTTTCTCCGTTCCGAAAAGGAATAAACTTTTACCGTGAAACCTTGATGGTGGATGACTTTTCCGATGATGGTTTTCTGGTGCAACGGCACCACTTTTAATGTACATATGTAAGCTCACTTGACTTTCCCGTTCAGGGTGTTCGGGTTTTGTCTTGGGTTTTGGTTTTAACTTTGCGCCTCTCGTCGCCACTTTCGCTCTGCATTGCCCGTTTCACTCCGACTTTGCCTATCAGATGGAACCGGACATGCGCAGATGGAGCGCCGACACTTTGTTGTCTTGGTCGACTTTTGCGTGCGCTTGGTGCACGACTTTGATCTGCCAAGTGCCTCTGCAACACGGTTGCAGCGACTTTGGGGACACCTTCGGCTGTATCCCCTGAGCCAAGAGACTTTGTCTTGGCGTCTTCAGGACGAGCTGGAGACTTTGTCTTTTATCAAGCGACTTTTGTCTGATATTACTTTGGCTAAGGCCAGTGACTTTGTGGATTACAGGTCCCTGCCGATCCTGACTTTGGCGGAGACTTTGGTTCTCCTTGATCTACAAAGGTCGCGGGAGCGACTTTATTATCTGTCACTTTGGGTGACACTCTCGCGCAAAGCGAGACTTTGAGATGGCGCCAAAGACTTTGAGGCGAGAGGACGCCGATGCATGGGCGGAAGCTCTGCGCACCGGCGGCAGGGGCACTTTGCCCATAAGCCCTGGCTGGCGCCCAGGCTCCAACTTTTCCACTTTTGTTGCCAACTTCGATCCTTCTACTTTTGTGGAGATGCTAGATGTGGGTCGGCAGGTTGAGCAACTTTGGGTTCCAGGTTCGCAGTGCCCGCTGTTGCAGCCACCACTTTCACTGGAAAGGGTGATGGCGACACTTTACCCAGGCCGCGAACATCCTGGACTTTATACCCATGTGGAGATCATTTTTATGATGCAGAGCACTTTTACATGGCTCTTTACGGCGATGCTCCCGGGCGTCCCGCCGGTACTTTCGGCGGACCACTTTTGCAACTTTATGTTGTACGTGACTTTGCCGTTGGCTATGTTCCAGCAGAAGATGAGGACTTTGCTGCAAGGAGGCGCGCTGCACTTTGATGGTGCAGATGCCTTTTGGGGTGACAATCGTCACCTCAACTTTTCCTTCAGCCCCAGATCGTCCTTACTTCTATTCTCTTTTGGGCTTTCCATAACGCAACTGGCTGGAAAGACTTTTCAGGTTGGCCAAGTGGCCACTTTTGGTTTTCGCCCAACACGGGCACTTTGGTTGGGCTTGGTTTCTTCGTGCGCCGTCTGGAACAGGCGCTACCTCGACTACTTTCTGGCCCTTCCAGCGGGATCTGTTATCACTTTGGATATGACCCAAGCAGCGGTCCTGCAGACGGCACTTTTGGTCGTCCATCCTCACTGGGATGATGGTTACTTTGTCACCAGCGGTTTGAACAAAACTTTCAGCATGGAGAACAGCTGGCACTGGAGACTTTTCCACATTCCTGTGTTGAAAAGCATGTGGGACATCACTTCCAACGCCAAGGATTGGGACATTGTCCCACGACAACTTTGGCAGAGGATGGCCCGAGCAAGGCTGTGAGCCTACTTTGAAGCACACTTTTCGGCGTTTTTTGACGTTTGGTGCTACCTTGGTTGCTGCACTTTAATGGGCCAACCACTTTTGGGCCACGCTGCACTTTGATGTGCCGTGCGCAGTCACGACACTTTGCACAACGAGCACAACGAACTTTCTTCCAGAAGCAACTTTTGATGCTGTAGATAGGAGGCATCGTTGCACTTTGCAGTTCTCCAGCGCTGGAAGCGGAAACAACTTTTGCGCATCCGCTCGCTTACACATGTACATGCAGTGTACGTGTTATATACTTTACGAGAATAAAGTACTTTACTTTAGTCTGGAGGAGGCGTGTGAAAATAACACGTCCCCACTATCTCCCAGACCTACGACTTTGCCAACCTTCGTTGGCTCAAGACCACTTTGCCCTATCGGAAAAGGCGCTGCTGAACTTCAGGGCTACTTTGGTCTCAGTCGTGTGAGCTTGTGCACGGAATTACTTTAGGGTAGTTTGGAGCGCATTCTGGACTAGTGTACTTTCGCAGATGGATGGTGGGTGGGTGGGTGGGTGGATGGATGGATGGATGGATGGATAATTGGATGGATAATTGGATGGATAATTGGATGGATAACTGGATGGATAACTGGATGGATAATTCGATGGATGCCTGGTTGCCTGGATGGATAGATGGATGGGCGGACGGACGGATGGATAATTGGATGGAGGGATGGATGGACGGACGGACGGATTCATGCATTCATTTCGGATACTGCTGCTCCTTGTTTCTCAAGACCACTGCTCTCATCCTGCCCAACACTATCACCCTCCAGCAGCACCATCTCCAAATCCATCTGGATCGTCGTCGTCAGTGCGATGTGCTTTCACTGCCGTGAGAATGCGCGTTATCCACGTCTAGCATTCCCAGCACGATAACGGCAGCGGCCACGAGCGGCAATTCAGCTGAATGGTATTATCAATGGCAAGCCTCTCACCCGATCGCATCGCAAACTCAGCAAGACAGAAAGAGCGGGCATCTGAAATCTGGTTCTTCAGAGTTTTGAAGATGCAATTCAGCTGGGTGGCCTCTCGCATCTGCCTGCAACAAAGCCCGAGAGCCCTAGAGGCACAAGAAGCTTCCGTTTCGCACTTGCCTAATCTGCTCAGTGAGGCCACCAACATCACTGTAGGAGATCTTCCCAGGGTCCTCTGCAGAAAAGATACACTTCTTGCAAGAGTTGCAGGAAAGCTGGCCTCATGCAGCATGCTGAAGACCATCGGGTCGACTTCTCTCGGAAGTAAGCGCATGATCGTCAGAGTGGTCATGTCCAAGGAAACGCGGCTGCCTCCCATCGCGGACAGTCGCACTTTCAGGTGCTACAGGAGACTTGTGCTGTCCATTGAGCCTGACACCAGCTTGGCCTTGTCGAGCTTTACCTGGTCAGGGAGAAACCCACACAACGACCACAGCAACTTCAAGGCAAGAAGAGTCGTGGTGACTGGCCTTGCACGTGACAACATAGCGAGGGCCACTCGAGGCCTTCACGATAAAGCGCTCGGCGTCCAGCTGTCGCAAGACCTTCCCGAGGAAGGACTGAGCACCGACCGAGCACCGAGTCTGCAACCACCTCGCCGATAATCTGCCCAACGCTCTGCAAGGCTTTCAGGTGATCCTGCAACGACCGCACACTCGCAAGTGCACAATCGATCGCACAAGTAATTGCTGAAGCTCTTCTAACGGCTCCTCGGATTTGTCGTAGTCCACGCTGTTCTTCTTCACGGTCTCCCGAAGCTTCTTCACACGCGATTCGAATTCGCGGTGCTCCTGCACCTTTGCCACATAGCGCTTCAGCGCCTGAAGCGCGCAAAATGCGCAAGCTCTTGAACAAGCGAAGCCACAGAGATAACATGCTTGCAGCCATCAATGAGTGCGCTGTCAGTTCAGATCCCTCTACTCTAACCCTGCACTCTCGGCGGCTCAGCGCCTGATCTTGCTCACTGCCTTGTGTCTCGGAAGCCATTTGAGCCAAAGGATCTGCCACACATAGACAGAGTGAAGGGACAATCACGAGACAAGGACATCGCAGGCATCCCACGTGAGCACCCGCCATTTTTAGTGTTCGATACCTGTGCCCACCCTGTACAAGCCAGCGAAGACACGATGCCGGCGAAGGCACGAAGCTGGGGCAGAGTTGGCCGATCTCAACCAACATAAGATGCAGCAATAGCTAAGGCTAAGGCAACATAAGTCAAAGAGCGGCGGTAAGTAAGTCATGTCATCGGCACTTGGCCTTCTTTTGCAGCTGCTTGGTCTTCATGATGATTTGCAGCATAAGCCTGGAGGCTTCATGTGTCATCTTCGCCACAGTCTCCTCCGACTCCTCCATCCTCTTGCGAGTTGCTATCAAATCGTTCTCTTCCTTGTCCATGTCATTCATGTACCGCTCAAGAAGAGATCCTGTTCGAACATGTTCCATGGACTTGATGTTCTCACGCAGGCGCTTCTGGTTTTCAAAGATCTTGTTGACGCGGCTGCCGTCCAAAGCCTGTTTGCGCTGGATCTCCTGGATCTCTGCATCCTGGCGCTGGAGCTCGCGTGTCTGGGCCCTGAGCTGCCAGGCCATGCAGACAACATCAGCGTGCTAGCCTGGTACGAGAGACTACCTTGAACTTCTTTCCCCGGATGTGCACCACACCTGACAAAGACGCAGAGACGGCCGAGGCTCATGATCTCCCTCACCTCGGTGGCAAAGCCGTCCGGGTCCTCGCAGGGCTCCTTGGCTTCGGCAAAGCGCAGTTCGCAGAAAAAGGCAGGGAATTTTGAGTCACGGTTCGTCCAGTGCCCAGGGGACGTCGCGCTGCTCCCAGCCCAGGAGCTGCTCCTCGGAGACCTGTCGCGGCTGGACCAGGACCTGCAGCCCAAATGACGGAAGGTGACGATCGAACTCTAATGCATGTGGAAACAATATACTGTAGCGATGCTGGCGGTGTGAGTGCTCATGGTGTCATGCTGTCACATGTGTCACGGTGTCGGTGTCTCCCCGCTTGCAGGGGTTCCGACAATTTCCAAGTCTCAAGACAAAGACACGGGTAGCGGGTAGTACAGTACCAGGTTTGCAGAGCCACTATGCCTGCGACTGCCGGTGACATCATGAGTGTCTCACAACCTGATCTGCCAACGTTTAACTCACCGTCTCCTCAACCCAAGACACTGTGACGCCGATACAACCAACAAGCGTCAACAGACGTGCACTAGACGTACATGCGCACGGATGATATGATAAAGTGGAAAGCGGTCAATACTTCGACGACGCGGCTACGCACCTGAAGCATAGTGGCGAGGCGGAGTTGTCCCAGGCTCCGCTTCAGAGCCCCGAAGCACTCGCCACTGAGGACCCCGTCGTCTTGGAGACGCCGGGCACGGGTCGTCAGGAACCTTAGCAAGGAACGCTCGCTCTGCGCTCTGCTGATGCTGCCCAAAGTGACTTGTACACTTATACTTGTAGCACCTAGAAGCTTGGAGATGCTCGGCGCTGTTACGGGAAGGCTCTCCTCGTAGTTGGCTTCCTCGGCTACCTCACAAGGAAACCAATGAAATGCACCGTCTGAGTCTGAGCATTGTCCGAGTTGTGCCTCCAAGGAAAGCTCTGCCTCGGGATTCACAGAGAGGCAGAAGCGCGCCCAGCCCGTCGTCTGCTTCACACGGTGCTCCGTAGAAGTTATGGAGAAGCCTCCGCAGTCCGTGCGCGCCGTATGCTCGATATAGAGGCAGGGGGCGCTCCGACTTCCGTTGTTCTTGATGCTGTACAGAGTGGTCACACGGTTGCGATGATCTAGGACAACCTTGCTGAGCCGTCCGTGCTCATCTTGCTCCACTCGTGTCCGCACCACGCGGTCCTCCTGCATCTCCGCGGGCTTCAGGCGCGTCACGGAGACGGTTGTGTCCTTCAAGGAGCCGGCGGACTACAAAGGAATTCGGGACGAGACCCCTTTGCCTGCTACTCACAGCTTCGCGTCTGAACCGTCTCGGGGTCCCATCCTCCCCGAGCTCAAAGAGTTGATCGTCACCCGGAATCATCGGCGCAAACTGGCACTGGGCAACGAAGCGGCCGCCGTCCAACACGTTGACGCTACCGTTAGCGAGCACGTGGGCCGAGGTGTTCACCACGTGCACCGCGCGCTTCACACAGACCTCAGATTCCTTGGGGTCATAGACAAGGACCCGGTCGCCCCTAATGCTGTGTTGAAAGATGGGGACGATGGCCGTCTCCTTGGAGTGTATGGTCACCTGCTCTGCACATCTCTGCACGCACCAGAGAGTAGAACTCTCTCTGGTTTGGGACCCTGCTAGTCTGCTAGTACTTACTAGCGAGCCTTGTCTTGCACGTGGTACAACACGTGTTCTGCAAGGCCCTTGGTGGCAAGGCCTTCCAAGGATTCGAAACAGTCCTTGCCAGGCTTTTGCTCTCCAGCCGCCTCGCCCCTGAGGCGCAGGACCAGGTGTAGAGTGGATTCTTTCTGGATGTTGTAATCTGCAAGCTTGAAATACTCCTCAAGCTGCTTCCCAGCGAATATGAGGCGCTGCTGGTCCGGTGGGATGCCCTCCTTGTCCTGTGAAACACACCGATCCTAGCAGAAATGTCCCGAAGACGTCATTAAATTTGACAATGTATGCCGATTCCGTGATTTTTGTGTATAGTGAACCCCAGAAAGTTGGAACATTGATTTAGGATGATTCTTGCCGGGGTTCCTTATCAGACTTTACGTTACGAGGATAATGATGTTCCACCTTTCTGGCTCCTACTGTAAGCACTGAAGGAGAACGTCTTAAGCACGTGGGTCCTGGATTTTGCTTTTGACATTCTCGACCGAATCACTGGGGCTCACCTCCGCGGGATCACAAGATATCTATGGCACGGCGAATGTTTCAAAGTTATCAAATAATAATCAATCTAAACAACAGAGAAATACTCCTGGATGCTGAAACCGCCTCCAATGTGATGGTCTTGCCCGTGAGCGTTTTGATGAAAATCTGCATTCCCCCACCAGTCGTTCGAGCCTCATTCACGATCTTGGCCAGCTCTTGTCCTTAAACGATCACAACTGATACAACCACCTCTGGTACACTTCTATCTGCAAAACCAGCTGAGCAAGGTTTGTTATTGTTGAAGGCCAAGAGGAATTCAAAATGTCTTGCCCGCTTATCAAGCTTTGCACCCCTCTTGCTTATGTTGTTTTTGGTACTTGTTGCACGAGTTGTTTTGTTGTTCTCGAATTTCTGGATTTTGTATCAGCTGAGAGTTTTACATGATCATTCTGGGTCTAGTTCACCTTAAGCCTGTGCATCAGTCATGTCCATCCTATCGAACTATAAGCTTTGTCTCTTTTGCAGAATTGTCTTCGAAATTCCGCACCTAACAAATGATGGCCACTAAACAGTCGCGTGAGTTTCAGTTTCGCTGTGAACTGCTGATATTGCATCTGCTCTTTGCTGTAAGCACCAGTTAAGACCATAAAACATGAACACACACCAGTTCAAGACTCAAGACACCGCCCAAATGCACAACGCAAAACAACATAAGCAAACAAGATATATGTTTTATTTAGAAGTGCGTAGATTAAGCCAGTTCATCTTTCGTATTGCACTACAGTTTCTCATGGCAAAGTCTGTCTTCAATCGTAGACAAGGGGTATAATGTGTTTCGTCAAATGAAACTCAATGCGCTCTTAGCGCAGTGTTCGTCATCTTTCCACTTATGAATTAAAGGAAATGTCAGTTACGTGCCTAGATTATCTCGATCAGTACTTGGCATGGTTTCAGAGCCGCCATGGAATTCAACTTCCATGATTTTCCACAATGAGAACGAACTACAGTCTGAACCCTATACGCCGCACCCCGTATAAAGCCTACAGTATCATCCTCTGCGTTCTGAGAAGTCCCAGGATCTAGCAGGTTCCGCGCCCAGTGCCAGGATCGAGAGCTCATTTGCGACCAGATCAAGCTCCTAGAGCTTCAGAAAGAAAGAGAAAGAGAAAGGGAGAGAGAAAGAGCGACAGATGGGCAAACCGACGGCCAGATTTGTTGAGTTAATTACTGGGTCTCTCCTGTCCTGAAAGCCTGAGATGCTGCCGAAGCGCCACGTCAATCCAGTGGTCGTCCGTGCTGTTCCTCACGTGGCCGAAGGTGTGTAGCGTTATTCCGCCGTGATCGACGTCCATGTCCGCACTGACCAGGACGGCATCAGCTTCTTCCCTCGGCAGATCGAGGCGGTACATGCACTTCCACTCCTCGCAGCGGTCCTCGGAAGCCGAAGATGAAAAAGAGCGGAACGAAGTGAGACAGTGACAGTGACAGTAAGGGGTTCTGCGAGTCCTTTAGGTTTGGTTGCTAAGCGGCCACATAAGAGGCACGGCAAAGGCTCTCTGTGTCGCCTCTGGCTCGAATTGAGATTGCCTCCCGACTATCTTTGGGAGGTGGCGGGGGCTTCGGCATCTGGTTGGTCAAAGCTGTCGTCAAAGACTTGCTGAGCTCTTCCTGCATGATGGTGTCCACCAGGGAGACTTGAGCTATCTCCTCGAATCGGACCTTGTGAATGATGCCCCATTGCTCTTCAAAGAGATGCACCGTTGCAACATATTCCTCCGATTCCTTGCAGCCTTCTATTGCCCGTTTCGCACGTTCTACCATGAGCATTTTGCCCGTCACCGTCCTCTTGTCAACGAGACTCAAAGTAAGCTGCACTCCCCGGCACGACTCCAGGAAACTGCCCATGGAGGCATGGTTGAAGGGATAGGAAGATCCGGATGCCACGGAGGGCGCCTTGCAAGGGTGGAAGGCTGAGCTGCAGAAGGCACTACAAGCTTTCCAGCGGGACTCTCTGATGGAGGTATGGCAAGCAAACCTCGAGTTCCATAATGCCCACACACATGAAGCTAGCTGATGTGTGCATTGATGCACGCGCTGAAGCTTAATGATCATGCTGATGGTGCTGGATATGTTTGCGGCGAAGATGTCGTAGGGACGAGGCGGAGGGGCAGCCGCGTGGTCCTCATCGCGATCACGGCGACGATAACACCGAACAGGCACAAACCACAAAGAAGCACGAAAACAAAGCAGCAGGTACTGATGGTCCAACTACTATCGCAGCAACCGACATGACGAACAAAAAATCACGAGGAGCGCAATCGAGACACTCGCCATGAGTCCGTGGCAACTACAACCACCGGATCCATCGTAACATTCACAATGCATTCTGTAATAACACTGTAATACCGCCAACAAGTTACGCAACACCTCCAATGTCTTATATGAAGAAAACACTCGTATACACTCGCTGCATGTTGCAATAGCAATTGTCAACCAGAGTCATTCGAACATATTCGATCACATCCGACCACAACCAGTTCACAATCACCTCCACCACCTGCACCAACCCGACCACGACCAGCACCAGCACTCCCCTACCATTGCTACTACCATTGCAATCACCTGCATCATCTGCAGGCAACAGCCCAGATGCTTGAAAAAAAAGACGTGCAAAACGAGCAGCACTGGCTAGCAGCGACACTACAAGCATCACGGACGCTAACTGGCAAAGGCAATCATTTTTCTCGACGCTCTCCACCTTGCTGTCCTTGCCAAAGATGATAGAGGCCCCGCCCGGTGCCGAGGCTGAAAGTGTGTTCACCACCAGCTTCCGGCGAGCCTCAGGAACCCGAAGCTCGAAGTCGCCGGCCGCACCTGAGAGCAGAAAGAGAAGAGAGCAGCGAGAGAGAAGGAGGTTAGACGGTTAGACTTTCGGAGAGAGGTGGCGTTTCCTCGCTGCCGTGCGGCCGTCGCCCAGCCTGCCCTCTCTGACACAGAACGCCAGGTTGTTCTTGTAGAGGGTGATTCGAGCAAGGTCCAAAGGCAGCGTCATGATCACCGAATTCAGAACTCTAGTCTATGTTACTGCACGGGCCCCTGACCGCACTTACCCCCGCTCTCTCGGGCCGCGAAGCGAGATTTGCAAAGTTCCACGAATAACCGACAGCCGTTCAGAATCGAATGACAGACATTTGCGAAGCTGGGCAGACTGAAGGCATCCTTCTCCGAACTGTGCCCAAAGATTCTCAAGAGCATGACAGCTCATGTGCGTCTCCGAGCTGTCTTACAGCAAGGGAGCTTCAGGATCTCTCTCTGAAGCTCTTGGAAACTTGCTGCGTGCGACCGTTAACAATGCCGGCGCACTCTCGCCGGAATCCTACAAAGATCCGAAGCAACTCGCGGGAGCTGGATGCTTAGGTTGGACGGCCTCCGTGGGCAGCCTTGGGAATGCAGTCGCATGGGTGGGAGCTAGCTTTAGAAGGTTCCGAGCATCACCTCTCAACAACGTCCAGGTAGGACTTCCTGGCATGCCTGCAGCATGCCATGGAGCCCTGGGAGGCAACCACATAACGCCCCGGTTGTGGGGTGAAGCCACGCGACCGCTTTGCAAAGTGCCGTCTGTGACGAGCCACAGCTGAAGGCTGGAAACAGTAAACGGAAGACAGAGAGCCGAGACCAAGACCCGCATCCAAAACAGCATCGCCATCTGCACTCATGCTTGGAGGCTGTGATGCCTTGGCCTTGTCTCAGCCGTCTGAACGTGCACATGCATCTCTGTACATGGCAGATCGCATACTTCAAAAGACCTGCGCAGTGAACTAAATGATCTGGCCGGGCAGCAGGATGCCCATGTCACATCGTCTGCACGCCGAGCCTTCGACGGGGTCCCTCTCGTCTCAGAACGCCGCTGCCTCGTAATGGCACGCAAAGCAGCTTCAAGCATGCACGTTGACCTGAGGGTGCACGAAGTTTGCCACCCACAGTTTCGGCTGAAGCAGGGGGTTCAGCATCTCTTTATAGTAGGAATCCATCACTGAGATCGATTTCAAGCTGGCTCAAAACGATGTGTTTCTCTGAGCGTTTCCAGGACATGAACCCTGACCTGATTCTCCAAACTGTTTCAGGTCCACCCCGAATTTTGTGCCGAAAGTGACCGTTTAAACTGCCTGTGATCATCTTTGATCTAAGCTCCACAGGCACCTCGGGCAGCCGCGTCAGAGCACGACAGGCTCCTCGGCGTCCTCTTCGTAGCCCAGGCCGGATCCTGATAGGTACACGCATGCGCGAAATTCAAAGGTGATGCCAAACTCTGTGAACGTACAACGGCACACTCAGGCAGGACTGGGCCAAGCCCAGCAAACCACTGTTGGACGTCTATCAGGGTTGGGTCGGTGAAGGCCCTGGAAAGTCCATCGCAGATGGACGTATTGCTACGTACTCACACATCCATTGACGGCGGACAGAACGTACTGGGCACAGAAACCACCAAGGGAGCCCTTACACCCAGTGTAAGCGGCACAGCACCCTGGATATAACTTACATAGGCATACCGTCGGCAGTTGTGGCGCTGACTGCAGTCCAAACTCATCCCTGAAAAAGCCTGGTGGTGGCAACTCCTGAAAGACTCTTTTTTGCAAACGATCGTCTCCCAGCAGGAAACCACATAAACGCGGCAAGCACTCATGCTTATCCAATCCTGATTCTGCCGCTTTGGCTTGCGCGGCCAGACCATACATGCTAAGATCGGACAATCAGCATCAAACATGAGCCGGGTGAATCTGGATCAAGGGTAAATCTGCCACTTTGGAACCTGCAGCCAATCTGCCACGCCACGCACCTACTATATGCGTCAAACAGGATGCAACCATGCAACAATATACCAAATGTCGGTTTTGCTGCCGGTTTGGCGTACACAACCGCACGAGGGGTTTTTCATATATTTGTACCTGGGTCACAATGCAACGGTGCACACAAAGAATTGAGCTCACCTACCGCACTAGACCTTTACAAGACACAGGCACTTCAGGCATGCGCTCATGCTACACATGACAAAAACGAGGAAGTATTCTCAGCCGTCTTAGCTACTGACGCATGCCGGCCATGGAGCATGGTTGTTTACAAAAAACATGCAAGTGAGACTGCGGCAACTACTAGCTCGCTACTCCCGGCCACTACGAGCCTGCGATTCCCTGCCAATTCACTTGACTCTGTTCGGATCTTCCTTAAAGGAATCCTCACATCTGAAAGTCACGCGTCGCCCTGCTTGGCGTTCTTGCGAATGTTCTTCTCTGGATCGCTGAGGTAGACGACTGCCTCGCGCATCCTTTTGAAAAGTTGATACGGTTTCATCGGTTTAGTCAATGCATCGGATAGCATCGTGCTGGTATCTGTCCAGCGAGGGCGGTCTCCGTGACCCGCATGGATGGTGTAGGTTTTGGAATCACCTTCCCGCAGTTGTTGACGCATCGATACTAATTTTTTTCACACTCAGCGTCCTGTCCCGAAGGTCGCCTAGAGTAGGCCTAACAGGCTTAATCATCGATACTAATTCGATCGCTAACCGTCGATCGGTGACTTTGCTTGCTGGAATTGAGGTGGTCCGTCAAACTCATACAATCAGAAACCCATTCATGCCTCATTACCTTTTGCGTGGTTTCCAACCAATCTTTGAGCACCGGGAGCTGGCCTCGCAACTCAAATAGAATCGCTCTCAGCCTGTCCCCACTTTCCACTGCGGACTGCATTGCATAGGCTTCTGCTTGCAAAATGCTTCGGCAGACTCGACGAAAGGTGGTGGAGCCATACCCAATGATGTGTGCCACATGCTCGTTGGAGTCCACCATACGCTCCGAAGTAATGTAGTGGAAGCGTCCTTGTTGGCTTCGCAACCCTTCTTCTCCCGCATGGCTAGCGTCAGAGAAGCTGAAGACACACGCATCGTGCCATGAGAACTTTGCTGCCGGGTAAAACATCGATATCCCCGCATCTGCCTTGGCCAAATCCACCACTCTGTTTGCGTCCCTCAAGTCAGCTACTGTAGCTCGTGACATGCACGCTGCAAACAATTGACTCTCTAACACAGATCTGGCCTCGAGTATCTCGCGACCCATGCCAACGAACCCACTACGCTACGCAACTTTGTCACATCCTGGTCCGTCGCTGGCTCTGTGCCTTTACGGTTCGAGTCGATAACGATGTGGTGGATAGACCGGGTGTTGTCTTCCGTGTGAATGGTCACGTTGAAATCTTCCTCTTGCCTGAACCTCCGACCACAATATCGGAAATCTGTGTCTTCAACCTTTCCCATGTAGAACTTTGCCATGATGCGTTCCATGATGGATTCTCCCTCGGGCGTCGCACACCAAAGTAGATCATCTACATGCATTCCGAGTACCGCAGGCAAATTGTCGGATCCCAGTATGTAGTACAATCCGGGCGCAATTCTACTCACCTTGAGTCCTTCTTCACACGACACCCTGCGCAACCGAACGTAAAACCCTCTATATACCAGCATCCATTGTGCCGTACACGGGTAGGCGACACAACAACATGGCCTCTGGCGGTACGCCTGGCAATCCGCCTCGGGGTCGCCTCATAAGGATCACCCGCCCCACCGGTTCGGATTGAAAATATGCGGATGAAATGTCCCCGCACGTGAGCTTGATCCTGCGACAAAAGCCGCGTAACTTGCGATCACGCAATGTGTTTCTGAATCCACAGTGGGATCGTCGCACCTTAGTTCGTTGCGGGAAACATCATCATAGTTTCCACATGACACCAACCGACGTCTGCACTTTGGCTCGTAATCACTCCGGCCTTTCTTGAACTCAGTCCTGTTCACGTCAACCCATTGGCTTGGAATTGTATTGTGCCCTTCTTGGAGTAGGCTCTCCAGCAAGGGTCCCATAGTGGGAACGGCCGCGTTGTACTGTTTGTACTTGCCCCATTCGGCCCGGCGTTCCTCGTGAATCCCTTGGGCTGCCAAACGGTTCTTTTGGTAACAGTATCCTGTCACTCACAAAGGCCTTGTACTCAACTGATTCAACTGGCGCCTGAGGCAAAGTAGATAGCTCTACATCGGTATCAGCATACTTGAACAATGTGAACCCCGTCCACGGCTGATCATTGCACTCATCTGATTCACGAACAATTCCCCACTCATCGGTGACTTGATCTGTTCTTCCATCTCAAAAGCTTTTGTGGGTTACTCTCGCATGGCTTACCCGACTGATGTCACCTGGGAAATCATCGGCGCTTGGGGTGTACAGAGCTGTTCTTGGTTTCATGTGCACCCTGAAAAAGAACCCCGTAGCCACTCGCCAATGGTTCTCAGTCGCGCCTCTGGCTAGCAACGATTCCATGGGGAAGTCACACTCTTGCGAGAACTGATCGCCCTTGGGGTCATCATTCTCCTGATCGTGTCCTTCTCCCGCTCGCGGACCATCCACGTCATGCTTAGGTTCCCTGTCTCCCTGGCAAGCGCCATCAACGGTTCCACATTGAACCCTTGGTCTGCAAGACTCTTCTGCTGTTAATTTTGGGTCAACTTCGCGCTGAAATAGACCATGTTTCACCCTGGAATGGAAGTGTGGCATGTGCCTGGTCAGGTCCGAATGTTACGATTTTGTGCTTGCAATCCAGAATTCTACCGTCCTGGCCCTACTCCAATGGCTCAGACCGACCTCCGATGTCCTGGACCCACAACTGCCCTTCTTCGTGGGGTCCTAAGCTGGTAAGCTGGTTGGCCGACCCTGGCATGTTGTGGTTGTCTGTGCGCTTCGAATTCTCTGTGTTGTGATGATTAAGCTTGACCACCCCTCAGTTGCACCACGGGTACGCAAGTACTCGCTCATGTACAAGACGTTGAGTTCGTCACTCCCGAAAAGGGGCCATGTGCATATGCTCCGAAGCTGATACTCCCACCACTCTGGTCGATCTTCCGCTTTCACTTGCTGCTACTGCTGCTGCTGGGGATTGGAAGTTCTTCTTTTCTGAATGTGCGCTTTGACGGCCCAGCGGCCATCGTGTCACCAATGTCCACACTTGCATGCC